GCGCGAGGCGCTAGTTAACGGATGCATTGGATTGCAATCTGTTTTATTTTGATTAGAGTCGAGTCGATGCTCTGGTAGTAACACATGGGGGGGAATTTATTTAGTGTCGAACTCGATTATTTTGTATTTGGATTATGATGTATATAATCCTTATTCGTGTATATGATGTTTTGTATATGTGAGACTTGATAACATATGCTTATGTGAATTATGATGGCTTGATGCCTTGAATTATGTTTTGATTCCTCCATAAATGGAGATGATGTGAAATTATGAAACTCCGTTGCGTTTGCACGAGAGAATGAAGTAAATATTTATTGTATGTTTGTTTTGTGTTGGAATGCTTATACTTTCAAACATACCCTGTCCGTTTTTCTTTAAAAACTTTGGAATGTGATGTGTGTTGTGGCATCCCTTCCGTGCAATTTTATTTCTCTGATTTTAATCTTTACCTTTAATTGAGGTATTTAGAAGGGGTGTTACAATAGTGGTATCAGAGCATAGTCGGTCAGTTGTCAGGTCTTATTTTGTTAATCCCTTGTATTTGATTGTGTGGCTAACGCGATCAATACTTTGTGTTGTTAAGAAGATGGTTGGTAGAAGGAATGATGATGCTTTAGCTGAGGCATTGAGGTTGCTTGCGGGGTCAATAAATCAGATGCCGCAAACGACTCAAGCGCCACATGATGGTATTGATGATGCTTTCCATGCTCTTGGGAAGTTCCAAAAGAACAACCCGCCTACTTTCAAGGGAGAGCATACTCCGGTGGAAGCTCAAGAATGGTTAAAAGCAATTGAGAAAATCTTTCGTGTGATGAATTGCACCGACGCTCAGAAAGTGCAATTCGGAACACACATGCTGATTAAAGAGGTCGAAGACTGGTGGATCAACGCTAGTCAGAGGTATGAGGAGGAGCATGTTGTGGTGATTTGGGAAATTTTCCGAGATGCATTCTTGGAGAATTATTTTCCGGAGGATGTTCGTGGTAAAAAGGAAGTTGAATTCCTGGAATTGAAACAAGGTAGTGGTTCGGTAGCTGACTATGCGGCTAAATTTCAAGATTTGATCAAATACTGTCCTCACTACAATACTGTTAATGCTGAGAGGTCGAAGTGCCTTAAGTTTGTTAATGGTTTGAGGCCGGACATAAAGAAGGCGATTGGGTATCAGCAGATTACAAGATTCTCTGAGTTGGTTAATAAGAGTCGTATCTACGACGAAGACAGTCGGGATAGCACTGCTTATTACAAGAGCTTGAGTGAGAAAAGAGGTAAGGGACAGATGCGTCCTAAGCCTTATGATGGAAGAGGAAAGAGACCAATAAGTAGTGGAAAGAGTCCGAGTGGGGGAGTGACTACTCCAATCTAATGTTTTAAAGGTGGTAAAGAGGGACATCGTGCTATGGAATGTCGCCAGGGGATAGTTAAGTGTTTCAAGTGTGACAGGGTGGGTCACAAAGCGGTGGATTGTAGAGTTGGTGGGAGTGTAACTTGCTTTAATTGTGGTGAGCGAGGCCACATAAGTACCAAATGTCCAAAGCCAAAGAAGGAAGTTGGAAAAGTATTCGCTTTATCTGGAGCAGAGACTTCTGCTGAGGAACGTCTAATCAGAGGTACATGTTTTATCTCTAATGTGCCTTTGGTTGCTATTATTGATACGGGTGCGACGCATTCGTTTGTTGCTTTAGATTGTGCCAAGAGATTGGGCCTTGTCTTGTCTACTTTGGATCGAAGTATGGAGGTAGATACACCTGCGATGGGTTCAGTTTCTACTTCAGTTGTTTGTTTGAAGTGTCCTTTGCGCATGTGCGGAAGAGATTTAGAAGTTGATCTCGTGTGTCTTCCTTTGCATCAAATAGATGTGATTCTGGGTATGGACTGGTTGAAAGCCAACCATGTCTATATCAACTGTTTTGCTAAGGCTGTTCTTTTTCTCGAGTCCGAGAAAGATGGTGTGGTTTTCTTGTCTACACAGCAAGTTGAGAAGAGTGTGAAGAATGAAGATGGGTTGTTTATGCTTATGGAGAGTATGGTTTTGGAAGATGGTAGAGTAAGAAAGGATTATCCTGTGGTATGCGAATTTCCTGAAGTGTTTCCTGAAGAGATTACGGATTTACCTCCTGAGCGTGAGGTAGAGTTTTCCATCGACTTAATTCCTGGTACTAGTCCTGTTTCGATGGCTCCTTATAGGATGTCACTGTCGGAACTAGTGGAGCTGAAGAGTCAGCAGGAAGAGTTGCTTGACAAAAGGTTTATTCGTCCTAGTGTGATCCCGTGGGGTGCTCCAGTTTTACTTGTGAAGAAGAAAGAAGGAACAATGAGACTTTGTGTGGATTATAGGCAGCTAAACAAAGTGACCATTAAGAACAAGTATCCTTTGCCAAGGATTGATGATTTAATGGATCAGCTGGTGGGTGCGTGTGTGTTTAGCAAGATTGACTTGAGGTCAGGCTATCATCAGATTCGCGTGAAAGCGGGTGATATTCAGAAAACTGCGTTCAGAACTCGTTATGGACACTATGAGTATTCGGTGATGCCTTTTGGTGTTACGAATGCACCTGGTGTGTTCATGGAGTATATGAACAGAATCTTTCATGAGTTTCTGGATAAGTTTGTGGTGGTGTTCGTCGATGACATTCTGATTTATTCCAAGAGTGAAGCAGAGCATGCCGAACACTTGGGAATTGTTTTGTCAATTCTGAAGGAAAATCATTTGTTTGCTAAACTTTCGAAGTGTGAATTCTGGTTAGAACAAGTGAGTTTCCTTTGTCACGTGATATCTCGTGGAGGTATTGCTGTGGATCCTTCGAAGATAGAAGCCGTGTCAGAATGGGAATCTCCAAAGTCAGTTTTTGAGATTTGAAGCTTTCTTGGTTTAGCGGGTTATTACTGTAAGTTCATTGAAGGCTTTTCCAAGCTAGCTTTACCGTTGACACAATTGACTAGGAAGAGTCAAGCGTTCGTGTGGACTCCGCAGTGTGAAGATAGTTTCCAAGAGTTGAAGAGAAGGTTGACAATCGTGCTAGTTTTGATTTTGCCTAAACCATCTGAACCGTTTACGGTCTATTGCGATGCTTCTTTGATGGGTTTAGGAGGTGTGTTAATGCAAAATGGGCAGGTTGTGACGTATGCTTCGAGGCAACTCAAGGTGCATGAGAGGAATTATCCAACTCATGACTTGGAGTTGGCAGCGGTGGTTTTTGTGTTAAAGATTTGGAGGCATTATTTGTTTGGGTCATAGTGGATAGATTGACTAAATCTGCACACTTTATTCCGATTAGGATGGATTACACTATGGAGAAGCTTGCTAAGTTGTATGTGGAAGGGATTGTTTGTTTACATGGTATTCCTACATGTATTGTTTTAGATAGAGATCCGCGTTTCACTTCAATATTTTGGGAAGGTTTACAAAGAGCCTTGGGTACTAAGCTGAGATTGAGTTCCGCTTATCATCCTCAGACGGATGGTCAAACGGAGAGAACAATTCAGTCACTTGAGGATTTGTTGCGTGCTTGTGTTTTGGATCAAGGAGGTTCATGGGAGAGTCATTTGCCTTTGATTGAGTTTACTTATAATAATAGTTTTCATTCTAGCATTGGCATGGCTCCTTTTGAGGCATTGTATGGAAGACGGTGTAGGACACCTTTGTGTTGGTACGAGACGGGAGAAAGTACTATAGTTGGTCCGGAATTGGTTCAAGAGGCTACGGATAAGATCAAATTGATAAGAGAGAAGATGAAAGTGTCTCAGAATCGCCAAAAGAGTTACTATGATAAGAGGAGGAAACCTCTTGAGTTCAAGAAGGATGAACATGTGTTTTTGAAGGTTAATCCAACTACGGGTGTTGGAAGGGCGCTTAAATCGCGGAAGTTAACACCTCGGTTTATTGGTCCTTATCAGATTTCAGAGCGGATTGGAAGTATGGCTTATCGGATTACATTGCCGCCATCACTTTCAAATTTGCATGATGTGTTTCACGTTTCGCAATTACGAAGGTATATTGCGGATCCGTCTCATGTGGTGCAAGTTGATGATTTGGAAGTTAGAGATGATTTGACCGTGGAAGCTTTGCCTACAAGAATTGATGATAGGAAAATGAAACAATTAAGAGGAAAAGAAATTGTTTTGGTTAAGGTTGTTTGGGGTGGAGCGGCCAAAGGAAACATAACGTGGGAACTTGAAAGTCGGATGCGGGATTCCTATCCCGAGTTGTTCGTTTAGAGGTAATTTTCGAGGCCGAAAATCTTTTAAGTGGGGGAGAGTTGTAACACCCTGTTTTTGATTAAATGTTATTTAAGTTATTTTTTTTCCGAAATTATCAAATTAAATCTATTTTAAGAAATATATTTATTTGATATCAATTAAAATGATTAATTCGGTTATTTGAAATAAAAATATTCATAATGATAAAATACTATTTTGAGTAATATTATTTTGGTGTGTATTTGGCTTCGTTTGATTTATCGGTATAATTTAGTTTTTATGGAATAAATATTAATTAAATGTAATATGGTTTTAATAGAATTATATGATATAATTTGAATTAAATAGATTGGGCCAAATTAGAATTTTAGATAGTTAGGGGGAGGAAAGTAAGTAGTAGTAAAATTTGTTTTATAAGATAGAAAGTAGGATAGTTGGTAGGGAGGGAAATAGAAAGAAGAAAGAAAAGAAGAGAGAAAGAGGAGAAGAGAAGAAAGGAAGCTAGGTTTGGAGTTGCAACATCATCATCATCTTGTTTCAAGAAAACCCACATCAAGGTAAGGGTTTGAATTGCTTTGCTCATATACTTGTGGTTTTGGGTTTTGATTTTGATAGATGAAGAAATTAGGATTTTAGAGAGTTGTATAGATTGGGGAAAGAGATGATGAAATTGATGATTTTGTTGGTTTAGATTGGTGTTATATGTGTTAGAATTGATATTAGTTTAGTGTTTAGAAGTTAGAATGAACTTAGTTAAGAAACAAGGAATTTAAGAAAAATATTGTGAAAAATTTGGAATGAACATGAACAGCAAACCACCCCCTAGCTCCTGGGAACACTTATTGGACTATTATATGCCCCAACTTTCCTTAGACTATGTACAAAAAACCAGCATGAAGTCTGGAACTAAAATCCAACTTCCATACAATTGGTTGGTTACTGAAGATGAAGAAGTTGAGAATTCTGGAGCCAAGTCAAAAGAAACCGATCTTTCTAATCTCGGCCTTTAGATATACCAACCACAGCCAAAACGCACAACACGTCTTTGAGCCTTGAGGTAATTATCTCACCTAAGCAGTGACATAATGTATGTAATAATTCATTCCATTGCTAATTAATAATTAATTTTATAACTAATGATATAAATTATAAGTATAGCACATTCATCTTTTGCATTACACGTTTATCCAATAATTTCTCTTTAATTAATATATTGAGACTTTTTTTTTATAATTTGATTTTTGTCTAGTGAATATATGCCTGTATGTGTTAACAGCAGTTCCAATTTTCAGTTTTTTTTTGGTTTTGTTATACAAAAGTTACTGTCTTGTTATTAAACTTTAATTATATAATCTTAAATTATTATATTAATTAAAATTAATATTAGAAACATTTAGCCGACTTAATGCCGAACCCGTTGATGTGCCGATTACCCGATTTCGGTAATTTCGGCGACGGAGCTACTTTCTCCGATTCGCACGAAAATTGACGTGCTAGCATAATTCGACGTGTAGATTAACGTAGTGAAGTTCGTTTTGCGAAATTTCGACTTTTTAAGAATCGACCCGATTTTAGTACGAAATGAAATAAATTGAGTTTAATCCCGAATTTAACCGTTCGAGTTACATTCCGGTGACTCGATCGTGATGAGTAACATTGAGAGTAATGCCGGTTCATTGATGATGACTTTATGTTGAAATATACTTTCCGATTTGGAATTGTTTGATAGTTGATGGTTTATGTTTTGGTTGAGTAAGTAACTTGTTTGTATACATTTTACTTGACGTTGTGATTGTTAAATTATATGTATGCATGCATGTACAATAGTTGATGTTCCATTGGTTGGATTTGATGGTATGTGTATGTTAAGATTATTGTGAATCTTAATTGCATGCATTGGTTATATTGTACATTGCATGGCATGGTTGGTCTTGAAACAGAGACGGTGAAACTGTGGGTTCACATGATTTTATAGACGGTGACCCTAGTGTGGGAATAGACGTAGTGACCTTGATCCGGAAGGGAAACATAGGTGGTGGAACATTGGGTCCACAATATCTAGACGATGACCCTATTGTGGGAAAAGACGTAGTGACCTTGATCCGGAAGGGAAACATAGGTGGTGGAACCTTGGGTCCACGAGTCGGTACCGCATTCGCATACGTTGAGTCGTGTTGTGAGTCACATGCATAATTGTGCATGTTATGTATGTGTGTTTATGTGTTTGATTAGGTGCCAATGTTGTTGTTGTTTGAATTATGGTTATGTGCCAAGGATGTGAGTATTCGGATAATCGGTTTACATGGTTAATGCGTTGGAAATGGATTCCTTGAGTAAGGATACTATAGGTGATAAAATGAACATGATCATTATGTATTGCTTTATTTATTGCCATTTCATTTACTTAAAATTACATGTTATATGATTATTGGAATTCTTACCCTTCTGTTGGAAAATGCTTTTGATGGCATTGTTCAGGTACCGAGGACGGTAGCGCGAGGCGCTAGTTAACGGATGCATTGGATTGCAATCTGTTTTATTTTGATTAGAGTCGAGTCGATGCTCTGGTAGTAACACATGGGGGGGAATTTATTTAGTGTCGAACTCGATTATTTTGTATTTGGATTATGATGTATATAATCCTTATTCGTGTATATGATGTTTTGTATATGTGAGACTTGATAACATATGCTTATGTGAATTATGATGGCTTGATGCCTTGAATTATGTTTTGATTCCTCCATAAATGGAGATGATGTGAAATTATGAAACTCCGTTGCGTTTGCACGAGAGAATGAAGTAAATATTTATTGTATGTTTGTTTTGTGTTGGAATGCTTATACTTTCAAACATACCCTGTCCGTTTTTCTTTAAAAACTTTGGAATGTGATGTGTGTTGTGGCATCCCTTCCGTGCAATTTTATTTCTCTAATTTTAATCTTTACCTTTAATTGAGGTATTTAGAAGGGGTGTTACATTTCTTCCATCTCCTTCTTGGATGTCTCAGGGATAACTAGTGATTGAGCCTTCGTCAGGACAAGCTCCTCTTGAACGTTCTTTCCTTTATTCTCAGCAACGGAAGTAGGGATAGGAATTGTATTGTCTTTGTAGGTGGGTACTCTTGCAGGTACAATTGTTGGTGTAGAGGTAATCTTCGGAATGGCCACGGGTCCAAAGACTACTGTTGGAGGAGCAATCTCTGGAGAAAATATTCTTCCACTACAAGTAACCTTGCTTGTTCCGGCAATGTTACTGATGTCGAAATTGTCCTCTTCGGAGCTTTCTTCTTCGACAGTCTGTTCAATCTGTTTGACACCATGGTAGTTGATTTCTCCACCATAGTTCCATGGTACCGTTTTATCTGATTTGTATGGGGTTGGCCCGGGAATTGTTATCTTAAGCGGAGCAATCACTGGAACAGATGTAATCCTAACGGGTTTTTTAGGAACCCTGGAAGGATTTGCGTATATGGTTATTATTGAAACTTCTGGAACTGGAATGGGTGAAACAGGAACTTTTTCAAACAAGATTTCCTGGTTATCAATCAGTTGTTGGATACCTTTTTTCAATAGAGGGCAGTCAAATGATGAAGATAGGCAGACATGGAAATCTTTGTCACAACCTGGAAACACCCCAGCCTTTAACAAATTCAACTTGATGGTCGAGAGTGGAGTCAACAATTCATCCACGGTGTCAACAAATAAGTCTTCCTCAATAGCACTAGCATTGTGTCCATGCCTAGGCATCGGAGCGGAGATAACATTCGGTTTCTCAGGCACTTAAAATTCAACTTCCTTCGCGTCTATCAGATCTTGAATCTTGTTCTTCAGAGCCCAACAGTTGTCGGTGTCGTGCCCTGGACTTTCAGAATGGTACGCGCATCTGGCGTTCGGATGGTAGTGTGGAGATGCAGTATTAGGATTTTTAGGGGCCTCTTTCAGCATGGCCAAATTCAACTTCAAAAGATGCGGTAGGACTTGGGCGGGAGTCATGTTAATCTTGGTGAATTGCCGCACTGGCCTCTCCACCCTTTGTTGAGTATTTCTCGGCTGATTGTTTCTCGGATGGTCTGATGCAGGCTTTTGAATCATAACGGCCCCCACCGTCTGTCGGCGCTCGGTTCTTCCCTGATTCCTCAGTGTATAGACAATAGACACTTCCTTCTTTCCTGTGAAGGGCTTTTTAACAGCAGCCGAGGCAGATGCGTCTTTCTGAATTTTCCCGCTTCTTATACCGGCTTCAACCCTTTCGCCAGTCATGATTAATTCGGTAAACCCAGATGAAGAATTCCCAATTAGGTGATTGAAAAATGGTCCTGACAAGGTGCCAAGGAACATATCCACTAATTCTATGTCGGATAGAGGGGGCTAGACTCTTCCTGCGAGATCCCTCCATTTTTGAGCATAGGTTTTGAAACCCTCATGTGTTCCCATAGACATACTCTGTAATTGTGTCCTAGTCGGGGCCAAATCAGCATTGTACTGATACTGTTTGTAGAAAGCTGTAGCCAACTATTCCCAATTACGGACATTGGACCCTTCTAATTGGTAGAACCAATCCAACTGGGTCCCCGATAAGCTTTCCTGGAAGAAATGCACCCACAGATTTTTGTCAGCCGTGTGGGGCTGAATCTTTCTGACATATGACCTCAGATGTAGCTTTGGGCAAGAGATACCATCATACTTGGCGAAGGTTGGGACCTTGAATTTCTGTGGGATGACAACCCCTGAGATGAGTCCTAATTCTTCAAAGTCCAAACCGGGTACTCTCTGAATTTCAATGGTGTTCAAACGATCCTCTAGCTGTTTGTATTTATCATCAGCAGATGGATATTATTCCTCAGAGTAATCAGTCTCTTCCTCTCTTTCGCATGTTGGGTCATTGTTCACTTCTTGGGTTTGATTATCTCCCTCGCCTGATGATGTTGCAAAGTCCAATGTTCACCTGGTCTGTCCTTTAAACCTCCTTCCCATGATCATAACCCCGGTTGGTTTCTTCGTCTTCTTTTTCTTCTCTTTGGCTAGCAAAGTCTTCAACTCTTCTTGCCCTTTTGTCAGAGCCATGAGCATTTGTTGAAACTGGGCATTTTGCGCCTGAAGATATTTCACAGTCTGTTCAACATCCATCTCACTGAAATAAACAGTAGAAGGATAAGGCGACCTGCTATGAGAAACCTGTATGATGTTATGATGAATGAAGATGCAATATGCAAATGATTTCAAGGAAATTTAGAAGATTTAAATTTGTTCAAACCAAAAAGAACACACGTCATATTAAAATAACACCAAGTTTGAATACATCATGCCTCCTTGGGCTTACAAAGGAAGAAACAAAATACAGCAAAAACTCCTAAGACAAGAAGACCGAACGCATCCTTTTTGGAGCAATGTAGGTATTCAAATTCTTCTCTTCATGAAGCGGTTTGGTGAGCTCCAGAACTTTCTTCTCACTGGCGTAGTATTGGGTTTCAAAGGTGTCTCGCTCTTCCTTCAATTGAATCCAGGATTTCTGCAAGTCTTCGAGAGAGGTAGGCATGTCAGGATGAAGAACAGTGTACGGGACGTCTCCTTCAATATCAGGCTCAATGATGATAGGAAGGATGGAAGGGTAAGGCATTAAGAGACTCTGGGCACGAGCCCGTACATACTTAAGGTAAGGCTCGAGAGGGATAGAGTTTTTATGTCCCAAAGTCTTACTGTCCACTTTGTTCACCATTCCCCAAGCACGTGTAAACCTTTGGCAGTAACCTTGGTCTTCTTTGTCGTAGTCAATACCTCCCCTAATACCTAGCAGAGGTACATTAGGGAACTCACCACAGCGGTTAATGATAGAGATATCTTCCAAAGATCTTGAGCACCAACGGATATCAGAGTGAGTGAGAGACATCATCCTTTGAGACCAGGTCAATCTTTACTCGTTCTTCATTGTTGACTGAGGTAGGTGTGAAGTGAACCACTTAGCGAGTAGGGGAATACAACACAAAAGGGTACCTCTTTTCTTCATGGTACGG